TTTCATTATGAAATATTTTGTATATATATATGAAGTATATAAAACATTTTATATTTATAAAAACTATTGTGAGACAAATAATTAGGATAATGATAATTCTACACTATTATATGTATTTTTTTTTTCAATTATAAAAAATTGCTTTTACCAAAAAAGGATTAGAAATAAATTTTTATTTTGAAATGAAATTAAAAAAAATTTTTTAATTTTGCACATTATTTTTATTTTTTTATTTTATCAAATTTTTATTTCTTGTCATAATAACTCTATTATTTTAGAACTAATTTTAAAACATTTTCGTCATATATCAGATATATATTACGAGATTATTATTGTAGAAATATATTGAAAAGCTAAGAATGCAATATTTATACGTAATATCTATTTTCTAAAGATTATAACTTATAATATAATTTTGAAAGAGAAATAATAAAAATGAAAATGTGTTCAATTGACATTCCGTATCTCGGAATTATCATTTGTAAAATAGTGGGAGAAAGATAGAGATAGGATAAAAATATCGAAATCAGCGCCATCTTTAGAGTGCCGCAAATAAAACACAAAAAGAAAGAATGAAAAATAGTGGGAGAAGAATAGAGATAAAATAACAATTGAGAATCATCTCTTGAATAATTTCGACGTTCGATAGATGGCGTTGAAGATCAATTCTTAACCTATCTCTGTCTTTCTTCTACTATTTTTTCTTCTTATATAGTTCAATTTATGGCACTCTAGAGATGGCGCTGATTTTTTATTTATATCAAAATCTTTATATCACTTTATATCAAACAAAATCAAACATGTAAATATGTAATTGCCGATCATAAATAAGCATTGAAGAATAGGTACAAAATATATATAAATATAATTAATCAATCAAGTTAAAAATATCCTATTCCGTAATTTTAATGATATTTTAACAAGGATTACGCTTAATAGAGTTTAGTACTTATATAAAAAAATGATATAAATGATGTAAGTTATTTTATTCCTGAAATTTTTGCATTAAAAAATAAATAAAATTCCTAAATATATTTAAAAAGTTGAAAATAACAGATAGATTTCCTTCTTTTTTTTTCAAATAATAACTGAATAATAGTTGAAATTAACTTGTCATTTGTCTTTCTCGTAATTGAGCTTTGAATGAATCGGATAAAAATTATTTTAAACATATAATATATTCATTTGTATGCTTGTACATATCTCGCATTCTTTTATACAACAAAATATCTATGACAACAGTATAGTAGAGAACGGTATACAATATATAGTTATATCAATAATTCATTCATAAATATGAGATGCAAGACAGCCTCGTTCTCTTAAGACATAACATTATCGAGTCATGATTGCATAAAATACATATAAGTATGTACTCTTCTTGATTACTCTGATGTCCAGTCTTTCGGTAGAACTTTTGCATCGGTTTTTCTCCGCGTCTAGTGGATTTGATTTGATTTCATTTAAATCGTTTCATAACAATATATATATATATGCGTGTATATGTACACATACATATATGTTGTTACTTCGATCGTATATTCGATATAATTTTGCGTTTAATACCACAATAAAGAACGGGTTTCTTCTAATACTGTTAGACCTTTGTAATAACGTTAAAAGAAAATAATTGGTAAAACATAATAATCGTGCATGACTTTCATGACGTGTGACACTTACGACACTTAATCGTAAATCTGTTTGTAAAGGAACATGACGATCTGTGCGATTTTCGTCGTTGAACGAAAGCGTCGATAAAACTGCATTATTACTTCTTCTTAAACGATATACTTTCGGCTATAATACGAATGTTGTAAAGTAGGCCAATCGGTTCGTGCTCCCTTCGTAATCTTCGAAACTGGCGAACCGGCGAACCGAACGCTTTCGCAAATATCAATGGGGCGATTTCGTTCGTTAAATCTTTAACAAGAGAGAATATCCGTTAGTGAAAAAATATGCTATTTACATGTAAGGTATCTAGTTGTGCGTCGATTCATTAATTCGCCGTTGGAGTGTATCAAAATCTACTTAAAGGGATCAACGATTTATGCAGCCGTTATTTTTCATCGATCTTTTCTTCTTCTTCTTCTTCTTCTTCTTCTTCTTCTTCTTCTTTTCTTCTTTTTCTAAATGTAAACATGCGCGTATAATAATTCCGGCCGGAGAATTCTAATCCGATAAAAATCGACGATATTACTTACACAAGAAATATCGTTACTCGTCGGGATTCGAAGTAATTGTACTCTGATCGAAAATATGTAAAAAAATGGCATAAACCTCGAAAAAAATGGTATTTTTTGTTCGCGGGGAATTGCAAGCATCGTCGGCAGTTTTTTCGATACATTTTACGGGTAGAGATCAATCGTGTTCTATCATTATGTGCTCTAGCGTGAAACAACTAATTATAACGTGAATTTTTCTCTTTTCGATAACGAGTGCTTGATTGTTTAACGAGAGTGATGAGAACACGCACGATTCGATATTCGATCGACCACTGGATACGGACAGTGGAAGGTAAGAGACGCATAGAAAATAGTTTCTCTCCAATAAAATTCAAACGTATACAAGGTGTCTCGAGTTCTCTCTTTCGTTCTTTCTTTCTTTCTTTCTTTCTTTTTTTCTCTCCTTTTCGATCGAGCTAATAATTTGTTTCGCGTGTAATCTACTTGTACTCGTACTATACATATCATACATACGACACCTCATCCAAATAAGTCCAAATATTCCCGCTACATTTAACGTTGTACAATTAATTATTTGGATTTTTCGCTTTAGATTTAACCTCGAAATGCTAAATAATTCGTTAATTCTATTAGAAATGAAACGGAATAAAACGGAATCCCTTTTCCCCACCCAACATTTCCCTGCTTAAATCGTTTCGTATTTAACGTTTATTGTCGATAGATAACAATTAGAAGAACGTAGGAGATATATCTAACGATAGATCGATGCAAATTCAAGATCGTTGTTAGCATTTCAAGATTAAAGAATCCAATGCCAAAATCGCACGAATATTTTTTCTTTCTTTCTTTCTTTCTTTCTTTCTCTTTCTTTTGTTTTTTTCTCTCTTTTCTTTATAAAGGCCAGCAGAAATTTTTGGCATTCAACGTATTTTTTATGCATCTAAATACCTTTTTCGATACACTCGATCACACAGAGCACACAATTCCCTTATACGCTAATATGTACATACCATACAAAGCATCACAAGATTACATACATAAATTTATACACTTTTTCATAATAAAATATCCGATTCTCTATTATGCTACTTCATACGGAGAATGATCAGCTCCACGCGAGATATATAATTCCGCGCATTCAACCTTCCGTTTTCTTACAATACAAATACACGACACATGGTACATCTATTTTTTTCGCAATTATCATTACGAAGGATTTAATTCTCTCATATTATTATTCTCTCATAATACGTTCTTCTATTTCGGGGCCAAATAAATCTTCTTTGTCGATTTACCGTTTTCACGAAACTAGAATTTCCGCTTGACAAAGATTTGGCCGATTATAAATCTTCTTCAACATTGATATGCTACTTATATTTAACCGATTGTTTCCACAATCTTTTGTTTCATTTACCGAAATGAAATTTAACGTCGTTCGTCGTCCGCCTTGATCTTTTATTTACAACACACGTCACGCTATTTCGACGCGAGGGGTAAGCCAAGATTCCTCCAAACTAGGAGATTTTTCAACGATCGTCGTCCATCATATTACGTATAACGTAAAACGTTGATTTTTCGTAACTGTACAATTGACATTTATCGCTACAAAAATGTTTATATCGGTAAAATAAATAATCGCGTAATAAATATTTGGTAACTTTGGTAACTTTGTGACTTGTACGCTACATTATTACGGACGAAGCCCGAATCGAGACGATTTCTAAATTTATTCGGACAAAAATCTCAAATGGTCTAACCAATGGCACGTTATCTTACTTACATACGCTGTTTAGACGAATAATAATCAACGGATATTTGTTTCATAATCGATAAGATCAAGACGCGAAGAATTATTTTGATCTTCGTACAACAATTTAAGTGTCGGATACACGCCTTCTCTCGATTCGCTTCTTCGACTTTAATTTGTTTCGTCTGGAAATTTTAAAAATATCCATATCGTGAATCGAGCAATATCGTTTAAATAGATACCTCGGACTTTGGACAGAACGTAAATTGCCCTCAATTCGGAATTTATCCGTAATTAAACGTACTACGCGATAAATG